ACCCCGCGCATCCCAACGACGGGCAGAGGGTCACCGGGAAGCCGCAGCCGCCAAGCAAGCAGCCCGGCTTAAATACCTCCGCACCCGCCTGCCCGAGCCGCACAGCTCGCCGGGCAAGGGGTCGACGAGAGCCAGCTTCCTCTTCCCATCGCCACCGCCGGGGATCTGCGCGCCCGCGTACCGTCGCCGAGGAGCAGAGACAAGGGCTGCCCCATGCCTGCGCACTTGCTGCATGAGGAGGTAAGCGTGGGGCTGCCGGTGGGCCCGGGGGCTTTGTCTTCCCCTTCCTCCTTCTGCGCTGCTGCTGTCCTGGGGGAAAAAAGGTCTGGGCATCCACGCGTGTCCGTGCACACAGATGAGTGTGCGTGGGTCTTCTCTGTGCCTCTTCTCAGTCATGAGGCGATGTAATTCGGGGAGATCGTGAATAAAGCGGGGATATCTGCCGCCGGGATTATCTCCCGGGAGCCTGTGCCCTCGGATGGACTGAGTATAAAATACAGATTTATCTTTTAAACATCCATCTAAGTATGCTGGTAAGAGCTGTTCACGAAGGTCTTTTGTGCCAAGACGTCTTGGAGTTTTTGATAATGCTCAAGACTGTGATTTTTAAATTTTTATTTTTATTTTTTTTTAATGCAAAAGGGCTTTCACTTGCAGCATTTTTAAGGCAAGTGTTGCAGTAGGGAGCGTCTCTAGGACAGACGCAAGGTGAAAGCAGCCAGCTACCCAGATGAAATGAATGACTGTGTCTGCATTGCATGAGCCAAGCAAACATACAATGGGGAGACTGCCCATTTTTGGCACAAGAAGGTCTGAATAACTCGGCATGAGGAAGATACGTGGAGTTGTTGGATCTGTAGAGATTTTATTTTTGTCTCTGCTGGCAGCCACCTTTTGCTAAAGGGAAGTCAGGGGCTTGATTTTGATATTCCTGCTCATGCCTTCTCATCCTTTCCCCTTCTGCCTATGCTGAGGAGTGGATGTAAATAACAGCCCCGTTCTCTTGCCCATCGCCAGCACGTGGGGTCTCCCCCTGTCTTTTTGTGCAGATGCAGTGACCTCCGAGGGATGCTGTGATATAAAGAACTTTACTCCTCTCCCTACCCAAAAGAGATGCCAAGGGCAGTGTGCTCGGACCACGTTCCATGGTCTTGGCATGTATTTTGGGGCATATCCTGGAGGCTGGAAAGAATCTTGTCCCGGAGCCACACAGGGCATATTCAAATATACTGGACCCGAGACTGAGTGCCCTGGGGCCCCTAAGCCTGAACCCAGCGCTGGAGCCTCTGAGCTGCAGTTGGTTGTGTAAGCTGGCGGGGTGCCAGCATCACCTATGGCGTGTTCAATGCTGGTAGGGTATGTGGGGAGGGGGGGAGTAGAGATGGGGAAACACATCTGCTCTGCAGATGAGAGCTGCAAAGTCATTCAGAAATGAGGGAGAGCTCATGAAAATTATTTAGCTGGCCTCCTTCCCCCTCAGCTCTAGACCCCTGATCATCCCCACCCTGTTTTCCTTGGTAGGAGCTGCAGGAGCCACTATGGCCATAAGGGGCTAAAAATTCTCTTTCTTTCCTCCTCATTTCACCAGTCTCCCTCCCTCTTCCCTCTATATTCCTCCCAAGTCTGTAATGGTGCAGCTGTTTCACAGCTGCTTTATAGCCCCTTTAATTTAAAATTAGTTCTCATGTGGGAAATGACCAGTTTGATTATATCAGTGTAATTCCAGCAGCGTAGATATGCTGGTAAAATTCCTCATGTGGCTACTACGACTCTGGAATAAGAGGGTTTTTTTCTTCTCTGCTGTTTTCTTTGCGCTCTCCTTCCTCCTCCTCTGCCCCTGTGTAACTTTGACAGTGACATAAGCTATCGTGGAAGACAAAAATGCAACTTCAACCCCGCGTTCTTACTCTGGAAGCAGCATGTCCATATGGGGAACGTTACCCGTCTAATTATACCACTAGATCTCTGTTAGGAATTTTTCCTGCATAGACAAGTCTCAGGTCTTTTTGGTAGATTGTCTTCCAGCCAAGGAAGAAAATTGTGCCTTCCTGCCAAAATTATGAGAATATCTGACACTTTGTAATGGGCAGGACTTTTCCTTGCCTAATCTCTTGGATTAGATGGTGTTTCTCATGGCTCTTTTTGTGAAGGGATTGCCTCTAAATTCTCCAGCAGCTCAGAGTATCATACCCTCAAAATGTTAATTAGGAAAGCAGGCAGAGACAGAGAAGCTGGTCCGGAGCTTAGCAGCTGCCTGGGTTCAGTAAAAGCAGCAGGATATTTCGTATCCAGCTTTTTTCCTTTCCAACTTTTGATTCCAGGAGTAAAAACGTAGAGGGCTCCCTCTGTAGATATCATTTTACTTCCTAAGTGTGGGGAATCTGTCAGCTTGGCCAGCTCCTCCCCATAGGAAGGTACGTCTGTAACCCTCTAGTTTCTACCCTTGGGAAAGGGAGGAGTTGGGGTGGCCACGTAAGCTGCCTGGCCTGATTTTAAGGCCTCCCTCAGGAAACTAGGCCATGGCAGGTTGGTGGTCTTTTACAAATCCCTTGTGCCTGAGTGGGAATCTGCTTTTGATACAGGAGAGTTTTCTACTGGGAAAGGAGCTTTCCTGGCTTGGCCAAGCTCCCTCCCATGGTCCCAGCTCTCCTGTTGCTGCTGACTGACCTGTAGTGCCCCTTCACATGCGGAGGCAATGGTGTGGGCCGTGGAAGGACGTGTCCTTCAGACAGGTTCCCAGGAGGCAAGGGGATGGGGGCGTGAGGGGATGGGGGCAGTGTACCCTGCCACCGCTCACATCCCACATGCTTGACACTCTCAGGCTTGAGTCCAGTCGGGTGCTTGGGCTCGGGCCTGACAAAGGGCTGTGAGCACCAGCAAGCACGCGGCTGTCATGGTGGAAATGGAAACTGGTGATTCAGGGTTCAGTGACCTGTCTCATTAGGGTCAGTCCTGCCTGCTCCTTTCGTCATGCATGCCTGATCAGGCAGACTGTCACTCAGCCAGGGCAAACAAGCGCGTGCAGAGGGAATGTTGTGTCACTCTCACAGGAGAGAGCCGGGAGCCAGGCTGAGCCAACTTGCTGCTTAAAACTTCCTCTCTGTGTGCTGGTGGCCTTGGCTTAGAGGATTGTCTTCCCGTGCCTTAGTTTGCCTGTGGGTGGAAAGCGGAAGAGGGATAAGAGGCTTACAGCAGCCATGGCATAGGATGCCTAACTGGAAGCACACCACTTGACTGCTTCCGTCCGCTGATCTCCAAGTGTGTTGGTCTTGCCATGTCCCAGCCTGGAAGGTGACGTAGGGAGAGAAAAGGGGGCACCCCAATGGAATCCCCTTGTGGTTCTTTCTGATGTTCCTCCAGTGTCATCTCTAGTGGGGTGGCATAAAGAGACAGGATATCAGGAGCAGCCCAATGGTTTAAAATAAAACTATGTTTGAGACCGTTTTTTCTCTCCCACCTCTTTGTTCATTCACAAGATTTCCTTTATTGTTGTCTGCTTATGTACAAGCCCGGGCTACAAACCCACCTAAAGATGCCTACTAATAAAACTGAAGGAAAATAAAAATCCTTGCAGCCTGCAAATGATCTCACTAAAGTAATTGGCAGGAAAAAGACTGGCTTTCAGGTCTTTTACTTTACTTTTTGCACCCTGTGCACCATTCACCTTCTCTCCCCAGAAGGATTAGCCCCCTCAGCCTCTCAGACCATGACTCTATGAGGTCAGAGCGGACTCTTCTTGGTGCCAAGAGCTTAACCAAAAGAATGGAGCCTGCCAGGGAAACTGTGGGCTGCAAGTCTTGGTACTGCCAGTCTGGCTGCTTGTGTTTCTATTTCTTGCATTGGTAACCACCAACTTCTTGTTTTGTTTTTCCCTTTTTCCTTTCTTGAAAATGTCCATTGCTGCCTCTCCAAGGAGTTCTCCTCCGCTTCCAGCACCACCACTGTCAGCACCGTCGCCTCCCGGGTGAACAGGAATGGGAATGTCGCCATGGAGAAGGACTTAATCAATCACGAGGACTTGGCAGGAGACCGGGGCATGGTAGATGATCTCTTTGATGAGACCTACCGGGAGAAGGAGGGCCCCAAGCCCCCCATGCGATACGTCTGGAGGAATATCATCCTCATGAGCCTGCTGCATCTAGGGGCCATACTTGGGTTGATGCTGATACCTTCTGCAAAGATCCAGACATTGGCATGGGGTAAGCACATTCCTCCACTTGTTTCTTGGCATCTGCAGACCTGTTTGGGTGGTATTTTTTCCTCCAGGCCCACAGACTCAGGTAGAAGAAGGAAGTGGAGGTCTTCTGGTAGCAGAAGCTACTCATTCAGCTCTGTAGCAAGCTATAGGGGTCTTGCTAGTGTCTCTTGTAAGGTCATGCATGAGAAAGAAGCATTTGGCTTGGGAATCCTTGGTTGCTTAAAGAGCAAACTTGATTCACAGGCATTAGGTTTGGAAGTAGCCCACACCTGAATGTGCAGCCATTTCTGGGGTGAAGCACAGAAAATGTTTGATGGAGTACTGTGACAGTCCCAGAAAGTTAGGAAGAAAGGTGCTAGGAAGAGCACTTTAAGGAGTGGTTTGGGAGGCAAATGTACAGGGCACTATGTGGCATGTGGCTGCTGCCAAGGACAGGAACCATTCCTGTCCTTACCAAGGGAGGGTAAATCCTGCAGAGCCTCCACATGTGTGTGAGGGGAAAGAGACAAAATACAGCTGTGCTGAATATAAAAGTCAAGAGTTAAGTCTGAAGCTCAGGTCTTCTATCATTCTTACAAAAGCACAGATTAGCCCCCATCATCCCGGAACTAAGCATGACAACTTTCAAAAAATAAATAAGCATCTCTCCAGGCAGCAAATTCCAATGGAAAGCACAACCCAGCAGAAGGTAGCTAGGCGAAGCTCTCCTTTCTCAGAGACCTTGCCCTGGGTAGGAACCAAACTTCTCCTTTGACTGCTTGAAAGGCAGCTGGGCCTAGGGCCCAAGCTGCAGGGGAGCCTTGCTTTCCACGAGCCTTTGTGTAGACCGCCAGAGGACTTGAGAAGCCAAACAGCTCCCAGTGGGGAGGTCAAGAGATTGCATCCAGCCCCTGCCTTTCTGTGAAAAAGGGCATCCTGAAATGAAAAGCTCCAGTCTGATTTGAGACCTGCTGGCATGGCTTTTGGTTTCAGCAGTGCTCCTGCAAAGCTGCTCCTGCAGCATCCTGGCCAGCCTGGCTGTGGACAGGAGACAGATCCACTTGGTCTGTCACACTCTCCATGTCTGTCCTCCTGATGGCTGTGAGCAATGAGCATCACAGCTGGACCAAGAAAGAGATGGTTCCCTGGATGCCAGGCTGACTCTTTTGCTCCTGGACCACCTCAGCCTCTCACAGGCAGAGGCCTGGGGGATGAGCATCCCTGGAGGCCACAGGGCTTACTCAGAGGCTGACTGCAGCATCTGCAAAAGCAGAGGCACAGACGTGCTCACTGTGCAGCCAGCGTGGCCTTTCAGGAGGGGGCAGGGGGGCATGTTATGAAAGAAGACTTTGCTGGGCCTTTCCCTTGTGAAAACCTGACAGGCTGCACTTTTCCCTGGGGTGGCAGGGCCAGGCAGAACATGCAGCCTCAGCATGACCTTGGAGGAGCATTTTGGGACTTTCTGTCCTGCTCTGTGTGTCGCATCCCTGGGCTCTCAGTTGGAGGCTAGGCAGGGCCTGCTGGCTTCTCTCACTGAGCTGACAACCTGGGTCCTCCAACTCCAGCTAAATATCCTCAGGGCACTGGGGCAAGGACGAGGAAAAAGGTGAGGCAGGCTTAGTGGTTTCTTTTCAGGCTGCTGAGGTACACCGCTATTTCCAAATCCATCCAACCCTTCTCCCTTCAGTTCCTCTGGGATACTTCTGTGAGCTGGAGCATCTTGATCCAGAAGGTTAATGCTGCTTTGCATTCTGCTAAGCCTCACCTTACTCTAAAATGGTCTCTGAGGCAGTGTCTTTGCCTGTTTGGGATGTCTCTGTGGCATCCCATGGCATTCTGTGGGAACCTGCCTTGCTTTTTCCCTGATCCCAGTGCCTCCTGCTCCCCTCCCTCAGTCACCTCTGATGTGAAGTGTCAGTTGCTCTCCTGCCACTGTGAGGCAGTGCAAGATTCCTCGGTGGCTTCTGGAGTGACGAATGGGAGAAGGACATGGAATTTGGGGGAACTGCACTATTTTGGACTGGCTGAGATCCATCCTACCTTACCAGAGCTGGAGTAGCTCCACAGAGCTCCCTGTCCTGCATCCCTGCCACTTCTTCTGGGAAAAGACCACCCTTCCCTGCACGCTGCAGCCCAGTCAGAGCTTTCCCCTATAGTCCATTCTCTTCCAGTACTGACTGGAGCTGGGAAACTCTGATCCTCCACAGGTCTGGCTTCTCAGCAAGGCTCCTTGCACTGCCCTCTTCTCAGTTCATGCCTTTCTTTAGCACGTACTGCTCATCTGTGGCTCTCATCTCAGTGACTTGCTATTACTTTCCCAGCACTTCCTGGTAGCAAGGAGAGGACTGTGGTTCCCATTTTACACACAAGGATAGAGCAGCAGAGACTTATCTTGCTCCCAACAACACACCATGAGCTCATGGCAGAGCAGCTCTCCCAGTGGTAATTCTGGTGGTGCTGGGGTTTTTGCTTGTTTCATTGTTTGTTTTTTCAGATCGTTCTTTCCTTAGGCTGTGTACATATAATATAAAATTAACATGGCCCCAGATGTTCTCTGCTGTGATGCCACAGGCAGCTGTGGTGCCTGCTAGCTGATCTACCTTATATATTTTATTACAAGGAGCAATCATCTGCTTATACCCTTTTCATCCAGGCCAGCATCTCCTTGATGTTCCTGTCCCTTTGAAACCAGCTATATTGGTGACTGTGTCCTCTTTTGTTTTCATTTCTCTGTGTGCTGATTTCTCTTTGTCTCTCAAGCTCTCCAGCCCTGCCTTCATAATTGTTTGCTGTTCTGTGCTGCTGTGTGCATTGTATCCCCTGATCTCTTTCTGGTACAGAGCTTCCCAGAACGAGCTGGGGTTGTTGATCAGGTGAGAGCTCACCATAATGAGAGCTCTCTGAGCCCTTCCAGCACTGTGGCTTTCTAGCCAGCTCCCCTTTTATTTAGTGTCTTCTCCACTGCACTTGACAAAGTCTTGTGCAGTCTTTTTAAGGATCATGGGCAGATTTCATATCATTTGCTAAATGGCATAGAGATTGAGTCTGGAAGGGCAGGATGCAAAGGTGATTGACAGTTTCTTCTCTAGTTGCTCTGAGCCTCCCTGGAAACATGACTGGCAGGTTCTCTTTCTGGCCCTCGGGTGCAGCAGACCAAAGATGTTTGTGTTAACCCCTGTTGGCCTGGCCAATAATGTCTATAAAACAGTAACAGTTCCTCTCAACGGGGTGCTCTGACAATACCCCAGCTTTCTGGCAACACTTGCCCACTTAGCGTCCTCTCCAGGCTTAACTAGCAGGTGGTGTGCTTCTCCAAGTCTCAAGGGGAACTTCTGATTTTGCCAGATAGGAAGTTAGGTGTTAGCAACAGTAGCTCCTACTGCTCCTCCTAAACACTGTTTCCCTTATGCAGCCTGCACATGTTTCCTTGCTCTTGGTATCTTTCTGAGAGGAGATGACCCATCTGGTGAGCTGGGGCTGGGAGACAAGGAGGGAATGGTCTAAATGTGTGGTTTTCCTTTCCACTGAGCAGAAGCTCAAGGACATCTGCTGAAGCAGGACACCTCTTTGTGTGAAAATCCTTAGTGTTGACTGCAGGTGACAATGCCTTTAGCACATTCCTGGCTTCCCATCATAACCTGAGGTCTGAATCTGGGCCCTGAAGAGGTAAGGGCTAGCTAGTCATATAGACATGACTGAATCTGGAATGTTTTGGGTTTAATTTTTGGAAGACTGAGTGCTTATTACTGCCAGTGGTCATAATTATTTGTATTCCAGTTGAATATGTCACTGGCAACATCACCTGTGAGTTGACAATCTTTTGGATCTTGGATACTTCAAAGCATGGTGTGGAAGGTGACTTTGAAACCTCAGCTGATGGAGTGCCTAAGTCCTTCAGTTTGGAGCAGCATTGCAGAGCAGATGTGAAAATCTGTGCTACTTTATTTCACCTTCTCTACTGACGTAGCAATTTCATTCCTAGTGGGTGATCTTGGAGGAGCTTTTCTTCTTCCTCTCCTGTGAGATGCTCATTCCCCAGGTATGCAATGATCACCATTGTACCTGGTGGTAGGGATGAACCCTCTGAATCATTAGGGTGCTGGATTCTTATGTTTTCTTATGTTTTTCACTACGCTTTTCAATCTTCTTGTCCATATCCTGTTACTGTCTCAACAACTGTTAGGGATGTCTGATGGAGCTAATAGCCCCCAAGTAGGGTTTGTGTTTCTTTGGGGCTGGTTGCCACGTATGTATAGACTGAGAATCATCTCCTTTCCCACAGAAAGTGTCTGCCCTTTAGATAAACTATAGCTGCTGAATATAGGCAAGAGGCAAGGCAGCATGGGCTTATCATTAGAAAGTTGTGGCCATTGCAGTGACCTGGGACACAACTCCAGGAGAAATCAACACAAGCTGCTGATGTTCATGAGCTTTGGATGAAGGCCATGACCTTTCTATACCCCACCCAAAAGTACTCTTCCAAAGTGTTAACAAAAGCTTTCAGTCAAGGCTACCTGAAAGTACTGGATTGTCTGGTTTCTGGGTCTGTCAGTGTCACCACCACTGTTTCTTTTGTGATTCCTTGTGCTTGCCGATATGTGTTCGTTGGTGGTGTCATCCTTTCCCAAGGAGTATATCCACAGGCAAGTTCTGAGAATTGCCTGTATAAAAGAGATACAGATGAGCTTTCTTCTTGCAAAGCTTAAATGCCACAGTCCTCGGCCAGATTCATCTTCCTGGAGGCCTCTTTTACCAAAAAATTCCCAGTCAGCATGTAAGGATTCACTAGAGAAGCCTGAACTTGGAGCTATAAATAGGGCCTGTAGTCACCTAACCGGCCATTTACTTTCCAGTGCCATTGAAGATCATGAAAGATTGCAAAGTTTATTCCTGTCTCCAGTGCACCATTAACTCATGCCTACCTGTGCCACAGTGAAGAGGTGGGCTCTTTCCCCAGCAACTTGTGCCCTATATACCCATTGCAAGCTGATGTTGTTTTCCACAGAATCCCTGTCTGGTGTTTCTCATAGAGTCTGTAAAGGTTAGAGGTTAAATCCAGACTCCTGGATGCTGCTCTCAGCTATAAACTGCTTTTCACCCTTAGAAATCTACCCCAGCTACTGAGGTGTGCATCATAAGTATAAAGTTTCCCAGAGATTTTATGAAATGCAGTTTGCAGGGTATAGCTGCTTATGTTCAAGGGAGAATGGTGGTGAGTCACACTTCTGCCACTTAGTAGGAAGTGTCTGAAACATCCACGAGTGGGGTTTTGATGTTATTGTAGTGTCTGCCAGAGAGGCTCTGCAAATCGGAGTCATATGTTAGGTGCTTTTTCAAGGTTTGCTCTTCTGTAGAAATCTGTGGGGATAGTGACTGATTTAAAATTCCTCTTAAAATCTAAAACCAGCAGGGAACTGGTCATGAGCTGGTTCATAACTTTCAAGTCAGCATCATGGGGTTGGGTGAGACCTTCAAGGTGCACAGCATAAGAACTTTGCTGTCAATACAGCCAAAGGGAGACCTGAACTAAACGCCCTGCTCCAGCATCCCTCCCTTCTCCCCTCCCACGTCTGGCCAGCTTTGTGACCTTTCCTCAGCTCCATTATCTCTTGCAAAGGCTGGATCTTGCTGCATTTGCATACATTTTCATCCCCCTTTGTGCCCTGTAAATCGGCTGTGACCAGCGACTGCTTGGCTCCTCTGAGAGCCCACAGAGGTACTGGAAGACGTGAGGCAGAGGTGTGTTGGTCCAAGGCTTGTACTGCATCCTGCAGCAGACAGGGAAGCCCAGGGAGAAGATGAAGGTGGGAAGTCACGGTCAGATCAGCAAACAGGGAGGGTTGCCGTTATACAGTAGGATGGGAGTGGGGAAGGTTCATGCAAGTTTAAGGGGCCAGAAGAGGATGTTAAATCAGCTGAGACAGGCTGTTAGCAGATAAGAGGTTAGGTTTGGAATGTAGAAAAACAAAAAGGAGGTGACAGAGAGAAGGAAGAGAGAGCAGCAGATGATAGGAAATAAAGCCTGGATTATTTTGAATGAAAGAACAGGGCAACAGTGCCTTGCCCATGTCTCAGATCTCTGATTCCAGACAAGTTTCTGGCAGAGTATCTATTTTCTGGATTCAAGATAAGCCTGATTAGAGCCATTTGGCTGGACTGAATGGTATTGTCAGGACTACCAGCGATTCTTATCCTCAGGCCTGTGTGTAAGAATAAGGAGTTGTTTTCATGATTGATTCAATTGGCTGAATCTGCAAATTTATACCAAGAGAAGAGTTTCCCCCAGAGGAACTGGTAGGAAGGTGTCCCTACCTCAGGGGACTGAATGTGGATCAATTCACCTATATGCTGATGTGCACCCTTCCCTTTCAACATTTGAGGCTTGCAGGGCAAAGGAAATGTTGAATGCCATCCATATTTCTGCCAAATTTCCTGACACTTCTTTCCTAGAGAAAGAGTTACTTTTCAGATCCAATTTTCCTCTTATCCCCAGTGTCTTAGTGCAATGCTAGGACTCTACTGGGGTCTTTTCTCCATTTTAGCTCTAGGCCCAGATGCTGGTTAAACTCCAGAGGCCCCAAGAGGGCATGCAGGAATAGACCAGGGGAGACATAAACACATGTCCAGAGGGAGAGGGATGTGGGTTTTTTCCACTAGCTACCAGAGGGGCAAGGAATTCCTTCTGACCTGTGTGGAAAGGGAATCCATGAAGCAGCCTCAAAGCTCATCTGGGCCCAACAACGTCTGCCTCTGTCCTGGGCACATCCTTGTAATGAGTTGTTGGCCTTGGGGTTTCCTTCCATAAATGATGCAGGAGCCAAAGAAAAAAACCTTGGGAACCAGGAGCTTCTGATTAGTTTTAAGTCAGCAGTGGTGCTGAAGGTGAGGCTCAGGCTTCAATGGGATGGGAGGTTAGATCTTTTTTTAGAGCAGAAGAGAAGCCTAACCCTGAGCTTGAGCTGTCCCCCTGAAGAACTGTAAGATCATGTACCATCTCTAGGTGAAAAGAATCCAAAAGACATTTAGAGTGGGGAGATAGGAAAGCAAGACTCATGATCATTGGAGAGGAGAGGAATGAGGGAAGGCATTCCCTGATGGAGTGCAGAGCTGTTACCACAGGGATATATGGAAGCAGTTGCTTTATACAATTTTGACCATCCTGCACCATCACAGATAGGGTAATGCTGAAGAACCAACCCCTGTGGTAAGTCTTGAAAGGGGGAGTCGGGGCTGAGGAGCTGAACTGAAGCGATTTGCCCTACATTGCTTAGGAAGCCTGTGGTAGCTTGAGCACTCTCACGCTGATTTTTATTGCCCCAGCCTCTGCTTATACAACTTTGGGTGAACACCTGCCTTTGTGTTGCTCTGCCTGAAACTTTGCTGTAGGCTAACTTGCTCTAACTGCTCCATCACTTTCTTTACCTCTCCAGCCGTTCTGTGTTTTCTGGTGAGTGCTCTGGGGATAACAGCCGGATCTCACCGCCTCTGGAGCCATCGGTCCTACAAAGCCACACTGCCCCTTCGGATCTTCTTGACTATCGCAAACTCTGTAGCCTTCCAGGTAAGCACATCCTCGACATTCCATTGGTCCTAGGATGAAGCACTCCCCTGAATCCCCATCTGAGATACGGGATATAAGCTGTTGGAGCGGTTCCTCTCTCCTATGACCTTTTATTAGGAAACAACCTGCCCTTTCCATCTAACACTGTGGTGCTAGAGTCTATCTCATTGTCCTTGGCCCATCAGAAGGTGACTCAGGGATGAACCAGGTGAGGGGGAGGACTGTTGGCCAAGACCAGGGATAGGTAAGCTCTCCAAAGCAGGAA